TTGACAAAGCTCTTTAACAGGCCAACTGTACATCCTTCTCTCTACTGCTGACTGTATACAGTACAGTGTATATATATATATATATATATATATATATATACTGTGTAGGTAATAGCATGGCTCCTGGTGCTGCTTTAATGCCACTCATCATCATCTGTAACACAGCTCTCTCTGTAGTCGTACCATCAGCAGCCAGAACATCCCGGTGAGCAGCAGGGTTGCAAGCTTATCTCCCAGCCCAGTGGAGCAGCTAAATGATGTCGTCATCATCATAAACTTGTGTTGGAGCAGGCTTGGTTTAAAAGAAAAAAAAACATGTGTAAAAAAATACTTTTAAAAATGTTATACTGAGTTCAAACAATGCTAATCTTGTTGCTCGGTCTGTAATCTACATGGTAATATAACTGGAATACTTCAAGCTATTTTGTGGTACTTGTGCTTTTGGCTCTGGTGGACTGTAACTAAGTACATTTACTCAAATACTGCACTCAAGCACAATATGTAGGTACTTGTACTTGATTACTACTTGCTTCATACGTTTACTACATCTCAGAGGCAAATATTGTTCTTTTCACTCCACTAGATTTATTTATTAACTTCAGTTACATTGATTATCGAGATTTATATGAATACAACCAAACAAAGTCAACAGATAAATGTATTATTATTGTTTAAGACAACATTTTGTTGATCCCTTGTTAAATCCATTAGCGTCCCAGAGTTTAAAAAAAACTCCTCTATTCCAGCGGCAGTATTTGAAATGATTAACACACATGCTTCATTATTTTTAAAACAATATTATAAAGGGCATTTTTCTGAAATGGGCCATTGTGCACAATGATTATATGTTTTACAAGTACATTTTCATAGATTCTTCAGTAAAAGATGAGAGCTCTTCTTTTTCTTTTGGTCTCTGGAAAAAAGGGATTGTTCTATTTTTCAAAATCTACAAAGATAATTTGCAGCCTCTCAGCAGCCTTATGCATTTGAGATATTTCAAAAGTCAATATCACAGTTTTTTAAATAATGTAGACCTGAATATCACAGTGGCCCATCCACCTGGAATGCTAGTGCGTAGCCTCTGGCTCAGCTTAATTAACTCATCTGCGTAGTTACAGAGGGCATAATGGGGGAGAGAAATCATTCATCACCAGAACATCCGTCCCCACTGATCTGACTTCAAACAGTTTCTCTATGTGCTAACAATCGCACGCAGTCCCAGTGATCCTCCTCACATATCACGATCAGTCGACAACGTTTTTACACAACCACGCTTTGGAAATCCGTGATTAGAAAGGAAATATTATTTATTAAACTCATAATTTTACAATTAAATCATCCTGTAGGCTGAAATAGACTTTTTAAGATGCTAAGTTATTCCGGGCAAGATGAAAGAGGGTAGGGTAGGCTGCAGTTTGGTGGGTGGCTAATTCCTGAAATAGGACTGTCAATTATGCATGTGTCAGTCTGGCTCACTCCCTGCAGTGTGAGAGGGGCTCTCTGTCTGAGCAGAGGAGAAGCAGAGAGGGGAGGACACTAGAGGGAGACAATTTGTTCACATCTGCAGCTTTCTCCACAGTTTTCCTCTGGATTCTAGGTTTCACTGTAATAGGCCCTCCTGAGGACGGCAGAGAGCACTCAATCCACGGTGATCAATACAGAATCATTTACAAAATCCAAAAGGATTAAATTAACAATGCCTCAAGGGTGTTTGAATAACATCCATAACAAATGTATGTAAGTGGGTGAAGGTATTTAATCTGAGCTATCTTTTAGTGTTGGATTAATATATATTGGATTCTTTCACATTTTATGCTTAAAACAAGCTATGCAAGTCCCCTTCGACTTCAAATTTCATTCAGTGTTATCATCCCCTGTATGTATATCTTTTAAGATATTTGAAGGTTTAAATATATATTTTGCGATTCTTGCTTGATTATGTGTTGTAATCTGTGTCGAAATAAGGGGTTATGCATGGTTGGAGAACAATTTCTCCAAGGTCAAGTGAGGATTCTGAGGGTGTAAAACGATTACTGCAACAGGAAACAGGATGCCTCTTCTCAAAACAGCATCTCATAACATTGCCGGCAAGTCTATTGCTTCTCTCACTTTCTTTCCCCCCTCAGCTCTTTCACACACTATCAATTTTACTTCTCTCTCGACTCCTCCAAATCCTCCAGTTTTCATGCAAAGGCTCGGTTAGCTTTTTTTCTTTTTTTTGCATGCTGAGTTTCCTCTCTATTGAGAAGCGGTTCATTTTCCAGCCCCTGAATACAGGCTCCAGTTGCACCGATACAACTACTGTATATGATTTCACAATCTTTGCCTTGATTTCCAAAGTGAATTATCATTCAACGCAGATTATTTCAAAGCGTGAGGGATATACAAATGTCTCTTTGTAATGAATTTTTTTGACATCTTCCATTGATAGGAACGTCTTCAACAGCTGTCAGCTTTATGAATGCTTCCAGGCCATGGTGTTTCTGTGTGATCAGCATCAGTTTTAGGGATATTTGTGGGTACATAGAAAATTAAAACTTGTTTTCTTTTACTCCTTGCACGATACTAAACTCAGAGCAGCTCTGAAAGCATAGCGCTTTAATTTGCCTTCAGAAGGTTAAACATTTTAGGCTCTTTCATCAAGGATTGGTGGCTGCTAATATTAAAGGAGAACACCCCTCTATTTAAAAAGATATACCCTTTTCTCCTTCAATCAGTCTAAAAAGGATCTAGACATAGACTTTTGCTGAAATATGATATGCTAGATTTTAATAGAAAGCAGTGGTGTGTCTGCTCTGGGGTTAAATCTGATTCAGAACCCTAAATCAGATATTGTAAAACACCACACTTTTTCTGACTTTGCTCTCTTCACGGTATAACGAAAAGTGAATAGAAAGGCCATGATTACAATGTTCAAAAGGCAGAATAATTCATAACCACACTGTGAAACCTGGGACCCCAGTGTTTTTATTTGAGCATAAAACGAAGTTGCTCTTCATGTGTTAAATCCACTGTGATTTTTGCACACCTTGTGATCACTGTAAAGCCTATTGTTACCCTGAGCTCATATTCCGTATCAGTTTATAACCTCCCTCCCTCACACACTGCATGCGTGGATGTGATTTTCTCACAATCAGATTTCAGGCACATGCTGGAAGACACTGTCACACATTCAACAACTTATAGTTATTTTACGTATCACCAGTTGGCATGGTACAGAACAATAGTGCATACAAGGTAGAAGGTGTCACATTTCCATTTGCTCTGACACTCCTGTGCTGCAAGGAATTGCCACCATTTCCCTCCATTCCTATCTTACACAGCTGCGATGTAGAGTGTCCCCTAACTAATGACAGCATTTTAGCTGTTTAACTGTCAAAAGTCTTGTTATTTGGGTTTTATCTCAGTCATTGTTTCAAAAACATGTTGCCTGGCTAGATAAGAAATTCCCTCTGGTGGTGCCCTGAACAGTCAGTACAGACGGGCCTATTCAAAAAACTTACTGAATGTGAATAATGAAAAAGGATCACTAGTCACGTTTATTGCCGAGCTTGTTTTGTTGTAATTATTCTCCTGCTAAGATGAATGAAAACTGCGTTTATATAGAATGTATTGTCAGAGATTGCTGTGCCATGGATACAAAGAAATGTATAATGCATAATTTAAAACATAATTTGTTCATGAGATTTAGTTTTTCTTCTATTCTATTTAGAGCATACTTGCAAATAATGTGTATTAAAAACAGTTTCCCCCCCACAAATGTCATTCATGTTTGTTTTATTTATTATTTCCTTCTTCTTCTTCAGGGTGATGGGGGGCAGAGGCAGTTTATCTCCACATGCATTGTGCAGGAGGGAGGGATGGCCGCTCATTACAGGTAATCTACATGAAAGTATTCATAATAAATCCGCTGAATGTATGGATACCATACTTTATTGATCCCTGGAGGATAACTCTTTGTTGGCTTTCATAATTAATAAAGCAGCTAAAGGTCATGCTCGGGGTCAGCTGCAGAGATTCAGTATGGTGCTGGGAGACCTTTTCCAAACAATCGAAACCCGCTTAAACACGTACTGTATGGCTCATGAGACTTTCACTAATAATCAGCTTACCTGGGTCAGCACCTACAGTTGGGCACCTTTTTAAAAAAAATAGATTTTCTTATCTTCTTTAGATTCTGTTTCTGTATCATTGCATGATTCAATCTCAATCTCAATGTACTTTGTACTATTTTTATTCAGCATTGTTGTTAATGTAGCATGCAATTTATAATATGTTTAAAGCTGGAAGACTTAATAAATGTGCACCTAGTAAGAATATGAATTAACTAAACCAACAATGACCTCTTATTGAAAACAAATAAGGATGACATATCACTTTGCAATCATATCGTTAGCAATCATTAAAAAAAAACTATTACAGTATTTTAAGGGATAAGACATTCAATTGTTGTTAGTGATAGTTATTATCATAAGCATGCTCTCCTCAACTTTTTTTTATAAATAAAAGATACTAGTCGGCTGCACAATATCTATTTGATAACTTATTCAATATTATTATAATATTCAACTTTAATTGAATAATCTTATTTCTTGATAAAGCATTTGTAAGCCATACAAATCACGATCATTGAAATATTAACATGCAAAAATAAAAATGCCCTACTTTCAGAGGGACTATATAAAACGGCGAATGGATATCTTAATTTGTATAATAAATAATCGCGCTGCTGCTTTGAAAAGCTTGACTTGTCTGTTGAATATGTTAACGTGGCTAATTAAGTGTAACTTTTCTTGGCCAAATATTTTTTTGTTTGTTTTAATGGTATGTGTCCACTGATTTAGAAGAGCAATAAGCCACTTTCACCTCTAGTGGCTTAGTGCTTAATTAAATGACAAATCGGAGGATTGGTTTGCAGATTGCCTGAATTGACGTCAATTGGATTGGTTAGGTGACAGAGGCAGGCTCCGCCCCTCCGGGCCAAGGTAGAGCGTGCTGCGAGAGGGAGGAGGGAGCAGGGGGCTGAGCTGATCCCACGTGTGACGCTTTCATTCCCGGCTCAGTAATATTCTCATAGCGGGGCTTTGCATATCTCCTGCCCGTATCTGTGTGTGTCTGTCACTGTTACTGTAGTCCCAGCCTATAGTTTGAAATAGATATGGAAGGAGACGGGATTCAAGCCACATCCGGAAGCCTAAACGACTCACAACATGACCCGGGGTAAGAATCTTTCTAAATTTAATCCAAAGGTACGGTTTTTTTTCTTGTTTCAACATCTTAGAGAGGACTTCGACTGCCGTGTTGGATTCGTCCCTTCACAGTACGCACTTAAGCCGGTCTGTTTCCAGATTCAGTTTAAGACCTCAGTTTCGTAGCCTCCCCCTTTTATGTAGATAGACTATAATTACGAAGCGCGAATGTGTTTTCATAGTCTTCCTTTATCCTTTAAGGTCGCTTTTAGAAGTAGTTAGTCGTCAAAATGGCCGAACTGACATCTGGACTCACTTCTGTTGTGTTTTCCCCTTACAGTAAAATGTTTATCGGTGGCCTCAGCTGGCAAACCTCACCAGGTGAGACTGTTATTCTCTTTTACAACGTGTCCAGTATTTCTTGTTGTTTTTGTCGCTGTGACTGAGTGCTCGCTGCTGCCCGTGTATGTTCGTGCACTGTGCAGTAGTGTACTGTATGGGATATCTCAGTAGTGTGTGCGCACGATGTTATTTTTGATCTCCGTCCATCTAAAGTCCTCTATTCGACCCCTATGCGCATCGCGGGGTGTTTTTATTTCAATACAGTGACAACAGCATGCCCATATGTTTCTGTCAAAATGACCCGACATATTTTCTCTGTTCACAGACAGCCTTAGAGACTATTTTAGTAAATTCGGAGAAATAAGAGAATGTATGGTGATGAGAGACCCCACGACAAAACGCTCAAGGTAAATACAGGGCTTTTTATCTACTTTTCCTTCCCCAGTGCATGCGGCGATATCGCTCACTTTGTCCGTGTTTCGTTTCGTATTAATCCAGCGTGTATGTGTGTTTGTGTGTCCGCGCGTGCATGTGTTCGTGTGTGTCCCCGTGTGCGCGCCTGCGTGTGGTTTCACAGCAAGCCAGATAAGCTTAAATGCTCACTGCTGTAAAGCTGCAGCCCAATGCAATTTGACATTGACTTTGTGACTGCACCACAATGTTGGTGTAGTGTCGCCTCACATTGTGACATACAAAATAATGATCAGCAGTGTCCACAGATTCTCTTTTAAATCTGCTATAGGATGTTCACAATGTGGATTATAAATACATTTACACATAAATATTGTCACAATAATAAGGTCATAGGAATATTATCTGAAGTATAACATGTAATGTCTTTCTTTTAATCATTTGTATTGTAAAGAAATATGTATTTTGTGTGTATACATTTTAATATTTGTGTCTTTGTGTCTTTTGCAGAGGATTTGGGTTTGTTACGTTTACAGATGCTGCCAGTGTAGATAAAGTCTTGGCTCAACAACACCACGAATTAGACTCAAAGACGGTGAGTTAATTTTATCTACACTTACATAAGTGTGTATTCCTTGTTTAATGTTTGTACTGCCAGTGGAAACCCGTCATGTCATAAATGTGTGACTTTTTATTGCCTAAAGGGCTTGTGGGTAAACACCTCTTGCAGGCTGTGTGGATCAAGGTCATGTAAAAAGGCTAAATGCATGATGGTACCCTTCAACACTAACAGCTTAGCAATAAAACACAACTGCAGGGGAATATTGTGTGTGTTCACTTTCACTTCTTTGGATGAACGCGGCTGACACGCCCCCTTCTTCGCTGTGGCCACATGTGTAGTGTGCACATATCTCATGTTCCACTGAAGGGCGTGCTGTCTCAGGCCTGCTGCCTCGCTACTGTTTGACCCAGCAGATATAGCATTGTGTAATGCCTGACGCACTGATACTGTAAATGTAAAAAAAAAAACTTTACCCCCAAAGAAATGTCGCCCTAATGTCAAACACGGAGTTCTGTATTTGTGAAAACTAAAGCTTGATTACATTTGTACATGTTATTTAAAGTAATTGTTCTTTTCTAATGTATAACAATGTATTTTTTGAATTAGTCATTGTAAAAGCAATAACCGTTATGAAAGCATGTTTATTTAGAAACTAAATTGCTTGCACATATTTGGGAACTGATTCAGACATACACCCATGCACAATGAACACACATGAACAAAGCACATTGTACTTCCCTTTGACATTTTCAGTAGGTTAATAATTAAAGATGTGATTTTTGAAAGATGTCTGGAGTGATGGATTAGACGGGGTTCAGCTGAAATTTTATTTGGCTGGAAATTCAGCTCGGTAGGTGGTAATATCAGGGTATGCCAGCATAGTTCTGTGTGTGCTATCTTAACTGAAGGCAGGTCTAGATGGAGGAATATGTTTAAGGATCAAGAAAGACAAATTGTATCTGATGATACTTACTAGACCAGTAATGTTAAAGATGTGTTGTCCATTATAATGATATTTTTTAGCCTGAGTGCTTTTTGTTGGGTAGTAGACATTGCTTTATTTTCTGTAAAGTTCCCAGGGTATGGCTTTATTTTGTTGTTGTTGTGGGCACTGAGTTTTCCAGACAGTTATAAGAACAGCTCAGTAAGGAAGGCTTTACTTCTATAAACTTGCTATTCCTACCGGTCTAAAAAAATGTTATTTAACATTATAAAAAAAGAGACATGCATACCTTTTACAAAATGATTGATAACACTTGATGGGCATGCCGTAGATAATTAGCCCCCCCCCCAACTCATACAGCCTTTTATGTTATGCGCAGTGTATCACCTAAACATTGTGCTTTAGTGTTCCTATGTCTTATGGGGAAATTAATGACAGTCAGTGAATCATCAGTCATTAAATATATAAAGGGCAGTTATTGACATTGCAAGGAACAATAATTATAAGTGATGGCATTGCAAATATCTGTAGAGTACATACTGTAGATAGAGGAAATTATTCAAACGCACTTTGAGGCAGAATATAAGGCAATTTGATAACTTTAAGCAAGACATTTTTATTGAACAACTTTGTTGCAGTATATACTTACAGTGAAGGTCGGGGGGGAAACGTGTGCGCAGTTTTATACCTAAGAGTTGTCCGGTACAGCCCCAGTTTATTTCCTTTTTTAAACGGAGCAGGTGTTGGTTCAACGCTTTGTCCGAAGGCACTATGAGAGCTGCAGCAGCAGGAAACAGTTACATTCCTTGAGAATTTAAAATGATATTCAGGATATTCATTGGATTTAACTTTATGACCTCATGCTCATAGCACAGTCTCAGTCCACTGCTACTTCAATGTTGCAACTGACTTATTGATTGCAAAATAGTTTTTCCACCCGTAAGAAAAAGCTACTTTTTTCCTTATCATAAAAGTTACCAAACTTTCGCCTGCAGTTATTGTCATTATCAAAATGTAGAATATCCTTTGCCTATTTTGTTATGCATTCGGCTGGAGGTAAAGCACTTGTTCCACAAGCATATTAAGTGCTATGCAAAATGTGTTCTATACAATTTTCATTTTCTCAAATTGTGAGCCACCTGTTCTATATCCACATAAAAATGCTCAAAGCGTTGCAGCTACATATATGTACATTAACAATTGTAGCATATCACACTTATTGTAGCCTATAGGTAGTTTTTGCTAATGTCATCAAAGCCTCCCCCTTACTGAACAGTGAAATTTTACCCAGAATTGCAGCACAGCACTGAACTTGTTCAATGTCTGTCCTTACCTAATTGAAAAGTTACACAGGGCTTTTGGCGAATCCTTAAAAATGTAACATAGCCCGTATTATTCCCTTTGTAAGGCAGTTTAATAAAGAAAATCTATATGCTGTTGTGGTGGATTTTCATTGTAAATATGTTAAGGTATTTATCAGGGCTTTCTTTCTCCCTGCTTTTATTAGATGGCATATAGAAGAGAGCTGACAGGAAATTAAGGGAGAGAGAGTCCAGGCCAGACTCCATCACATGGTCAGCGACTTAAACCCTCAGGCCACCAGACTGCCTCCAATAAATATTTGTTTACAGACTAATAACATCATCATTATAGACTTATACACAATCTTTATTCAGAAGAATATATGGTGCCAAATCATATTTGCATTCCTGTCTGATATCAATATAGACATTTGTTTTTGGAATGAGTCATTTGCTTTGTTTTCATGGGCAAGAATTGTGTCTCCATACCCTCCAACCTAAAATGCATTGATGGTACTGATAGTCCTGTAATAATAGGGATAACTAATGCCTCCGTCACAATAAACAACAAAGTGAAGCTGAAGCAAAGCTTTGTTTAGCTTGACATTTTTATAATCAGATGAGTGTTTGACAGTATAATTGACATACCAAAGATCCTGACTCAAATACATGCAGAAATGGATATTTCCTAGCTGCTAATGTGCTGTTGTTTATCCGTTGGCGATGAAATAGCAGATTGCAAACCTAAGGCAGCTGTCTGTGTTGTTTTCCTCACCATTAGTCATTGGGCTGTATCTGCTGTGCTGGATATCTCCACGCTCACGCTATCAAGATCGCATTGCATTAGGATATATCATATCTGTTTTTATAAAGTTGCTCAGCACGAATGGGAAGAAGGAGCCGAGTCCAGAGAATGTGGATGGTTCTTGATGCGTTTGCAGATGTTGGTTTGATACAAGCCTCCTACTTTTGCAGTGCTTGAAAGAATCCTTACCAATGTTTTTGTCCGGAGTAACCTTGAAAGGCGTCAGTGGCTGGAGGTTCTGTGACAGTGAACAAGCTGAGTTAGATTATTCAGTAGAAATCATACCCACCCTTTGTTATTATCTAATTGTATGAGTGATTTAGTTTAATGGGCGAAATAAATGAATGTGGCTTTTATTTAACAAACTATTAGTATTTGTTGAATGCAAACACAAAAGAGGCATTTATTGCTTTGATTACACTGGTACCTCACAAAGAATTTCTTCATTATATTCGTTATTAATGTGACATCCACACAAATGGCAGGATGTGCACGCGATCACAGTTGTCGTTCTTCTGCTTTCTGATTTTTACCGTGTGGCTGCTTTTTGTCCGGTTATGAAAACACTCAGAAAAGGATGAATGTGAATGAGACATATGGAGAAGAACAGCCTGGGGCTTCAAAACACACATGCTGGTAATTCAGAACATATTTACCATTTTTCATGATGCTTTGTTCGGTTTAGAAATATGCAACTCAAAGCATCTGTTCCTGAAGATGTTTCCAGGCAGACTGGTATGAACAGGAGAGATCATAGCACATGATTTTGCATTTGAGAAATACACTTGGAAACTTAACAAGGCAGTAGATTGATGCAATGTTGGCATTGGGGCTAAACAATGAATCAAAAATAACGTTATAGTACAATTTTCAGATTCCAGGAGGTAAAACATGTGTTGCAATACTTCTAAATTAAGTATTGCAGAGATGTACAAAGTTGAATATTGTATTCTACACACTGGGAAATACATCCACTATGCAAATTTTATTAGATTTCTCAATGAAAATGAGAATAATGATGAAGCCATTCCTTGAAGGAATTGTGAATCCTATTACAATTGCAATATCAGTCTTAATAATTGCTATGATGTATAATTTCCAAATCGTTCAGACCTAGTTGCGTCTTTAAATGTTTAATGTGAAGCGTTTATACAAAATAAAATACAATTTCATCAAATATCCATAAGGGACCCACCAATTGTTAATGCAATATATATTTCTTCAAGGCAGCGGGAGATAATTCCTCTTATGTTAACAATTTATGGTTTAATTTCTTACAACCATATCTTTGTTTTCTTGTAAGAGAAAAATTCTATACGTTCCTGGATGTTCCATATGGAGGACCCCCGGTCAAATTGGACCTGCAGTTTTGATGTTTAAGGTGAGGCAGGGAGCAACCCAAGAGGAAAGGCACGGATGAGCAGCTGTTCTTGGCAGATCAAAATCATATTCCTCCGATAGGATAAGGTTGTAAAGTCAAATCAGTGAGCTAAACTCTGACTCGCTCTTGTTTAAGAAAAGCAGGTGCTCTGTCTTCTGCAGTTAATTATGGCTCAAGGCGTTATTACTTCACGCTGTATATGTCTCTTGTCGGTACATACAGAACATGAGATGTTTGTCAGGCCGGTAATGTAATATCTTCTGTTATACCAGTGAATCTGGATCATACTCATAATGGTGTTGCATATTTCCTTCGTGAAATTCTCATTATTGATTTGACTGGCTTTAAAAACTCTTTGAGGTGTTATCCCATCCGCAAAAAAAAGAAATCTGTAAAGATTGACAGCACAGATATGGAATATGTTACGTTTTAATTCTTGTCTTTTCCGTCGGTATCTCACAAACACACCTGTGGACCTGCTCACACTATAAAGTTGGGGTAAAAAGCTGCAAGCTTTGATAAGCCGTTTCCTTTTAGCTTAAACACCACGCCATCATGCCGGTGTAGATACGTCTTAAGAGAGAGGAAGAGAGTTTACCCAGG